CGCAATGTCTCAATCGTAGCGGGTATAATTCCCTCTTTTTTTTCTCCTTCTTTTTCCAACAACCCAACCCCAACCCCATGTTCGATGTAAACGTCGCATCCCTTTTTCCTTCACATGGTTTTGGCGTTTTATTTTGTTCTGTTGGGATGTTTTTTTTTTTTGGGGGGGGGGGGGGTTGGGGTTTTGACCGCAGGTCCGGTGCAGGGTATTTCTTACACGTTCTATTTTGTTAACTCACCCAATATTGATCTATCTTTTTTTTTTTTATCTAGTTTTTATACAATGTTTTTTTTAATTTTTTTTCTTTCTTCCATCTCTAGTCAACAATGAGCGATTAAGCAGAACTCTCCATAGAGAGCCCAACTAGGCAACATGTTTGTATGCATCACGCAACTCCATCGTCGTGCGGGCTACATACACGAACAAGTTGGGCGTATCTCTGCACGCATATCGGTCATCGTCGATCATGACACTACAGGGTAACTAAGTCATCTTGTCTTTTTTTCTTCACGTGACGACATCCACAACTTCTCTCCATACCCAGCCACATCATTTTTTTCCTTTTTTTTTTTTGCATAAATTTTCAGCCACGTGGAATTTCGAGCTGAGCCACATTCAGCTCGTACATGTTACAGGTAATATGTAATGATGCTCTTCTCCCATAGTGTTAGCTGCCCGCTACTACGGAAGCCACTACAGGTAGGAAGGCAGCTAAGAGCTGCAGGTATGTAGGTCGATGTTACTTGTTGATACCTGTAGCTGAGGTATTACACCACCGCTCACTCCATCAGCAACTTCCAGCATCGATACCCAAAAGAAAAGATGATATCAACTTTTTTTTTTTGCCCAAGTAAAACAATCAGTCATCTTCTTTTCATTCTACAAAGAGGGGAACATCGAAGGCCGAGGGATATGCCAAAGCCTGAATTCCATCCCTCGCCCAACCAATTGGTGAAAGGGACAGTCAAGCTGAACACCCCCCCCCTGCCCCCCTTGCCATAAGTGTACGATTTCGTGTTGGAAATTGGCCATGATGAAAAAAAGAGGTGGTTGGTGATGAAGCAAGGTCCCGCCCCATGGTCCAGCCACCTCATGATGCATATAGAATGACGCATCAATGGACTTTCTTCCCCGAACCAACATCTCAACAACCATTCCTACTCTTCCTCTCTCTTCCGCCTCCCCCTTCATACCTCTTTCTCTCTCGTCGTTTCTGTCCAATCCACTCATCCAATACACACACTCACACGCACAAACACACCAAAGACATATACATCATCCGCAATGTGGCGTCAACGTCTACTGGCGTCGACCGTGACGGCGCTTCTCGTCATGTCCAGTCCCGTGATCGGTTGCAATCCTCTTGAATCCAGTGAGCAGACAAGCATTCCCCATCCTTTGTTCGGGTCACGCACACGCACGCACATGTGAACGACATGATATTCGATGGAAGAAGAAAAAAAGAGAGACTGACAGCTGTGCTTTATATAGCTGAATGCCCCGCCGACGCAGCGCTAGGCATGGCCATCGACGTCGACTTCACCCAAGGCGCAGTCGACTCCTTCACCGGCTCCGGCTCTCCAGACTACGGCTCCGACGGCGTGACCTTCACCGTGTCCAAGGGCGGCGACGCCCCTCAGCTCAACTCCATCTTCACCATCATGTTCGGCCGCGTCGAGGTGACGATGAAGGCGGCGCCGGGGGCCGGCATCGTCTCGTCGCTGGTGCTCGAGTCCGACACGCTGGACGAGATCGACATGGAGTGGCTCGGGTCCGACCCGGACGAGGTGCAGTCCAACTACTTCGGCAAGGGCCAGACGACGACGTGGAACCGCGGCCAGTTCCACCAGGTGCCCGGCACGCAGACCGGCTTCATCACCTACACCGTCGACTGGACCGAGGACCGCATCGTCTGGATGGCCGACGGCACCGTCCTCCGCACCCTCGAGGCCGCCGACGCCGAGGACGGCCAGTACCCCCAGACCCCGATGCAGGTCAAGATGGGCGCCTGGGCCGGCGGCGACCCGGACTACAACCCCTCCGGCACCGTCAAGTGGGCGCGGGGTCCCACCGTCTACTCCGACGGCCCCTTCTCCATGGTCGTCCGCTCCGTCGCCGTCACCGACTACTCTACTGGTTCGGAGTACAGGTACACCGACACCTCCGGCTCCTGGCAGTCCATCGAGGCCGTCGGCGGCGAGGTCAACGGCAACGTCGGCCAGGACGACGTCACCGCCACCGCCACCGCCACTGCCCTCGTCACCTCCGCCGTCTCCGTCCCCGTCGGCGGAGGCATCGGCACCACCGCCACCCAGACCGGCTGGCCCTGGGACGACACCACCGCCCCCACCGTCGGCTCCATCCCCGACGGCTGGAGGATGACCTCCGAGGGCAAGCTCATCCGCGATTCCGCCGCTTCTCTCACCCCCCGACCCGCTCACCTCCTCCCGCTCGTCCTCGCTGCCGTGGTCCTCTTGGTATAGGCGCGAGGCCCGTCCCCGTGGTCTCAACCGTCGCCTCCCTTTTCTCTTACGCGCTCTTCATATTTCCCCTCTTCTCATGCACGAACATACACACACATACATACGGCATACTCTCTATACAGAGTCCCCCCCCTTCGGCTTTGGTCTTCCTGTCCGAGCTCTCATGGTAATGATTTTCTTTTCTGCTCTTCTCTTGGTTGTATATATATATATATATATATACATGTACGCGCGGGATACGGATATTTGCTTTCCTTCCACTGTATTTTTTTTCTCTCTTACCTCTTTTATTGGTGTGCATTTTCAACTGGTTACGGAGCATTCACAGGGACGATATCGCCGAGTCGATATAGAACATATAGATGGGTTACTACTCACTGGGTGGTGAGATGAGGCAACTTGAAAAACATGGCGTTTGAATTTTACCTGTATACATTGCTGTTCAGACCTGCATCTCTCCAGTATTTTCCCTTTCAACATGTCTCGCGTGGGTGGAAACCTTTGGGTCTCTGCTCTCGTTGAAAGTATCGGAAGAAAAACTCTTGATTCCTGTGAATCTACCGCGTATAATATGCGCTCCTCCCTTTTCTTCTTCTAGAAACCCTTAGCCATTGCCAGACCCTATTCCAGCAAACACCAATCCCATGCGTATCTCGTACGGCTACCCGTCTGTCCCCGTCTTTTTTTTTTTTTTTGCCCTTGGAATGTAAACCAGATGAGAACAGTTGGAAAGAAGATATAAGGTATAAACATCTGGAGAAGAGAAACTCGCTTAACCACCCATCTGCCCGTTCCCCCCTAAGCTTGTCTGCCTCCCCATTTCCTCTGCTGCCCCCCTTTCCCGGTCGTATACCATACACATACACACCCCAACTTTGCATTGCCAATGAGGAAACTTGAATGACTTGCAATGAGAACGCCTTCTGTCCAATCCCTTGCCCTCGTTCATCTTCTGTCATGCTAAACGGTACCTATGGCAGAGGCGCGAAACAGGAGATAGAAAACAGGAGCAGAGGATGACAGAGAAAACAAAAACCAGAAAGGATCATAGTGAAATATAGTAGAACATCTTACTTTATGAGGAGGAAAAGAAGACCCTAATAGAAACTGAAGGAAAAAGAATAGAGAAATTCGCAAAGGCCCGCGGAGGTCTTTGAGTATGTGGCGTCCGAATAAGAAGACAACCGTCTAAAAAGTCCAGTCCTCAGTGTCTTCGACAGACTTGATGGCCCAGCGGAACTTGTCGCGGACTGTCTTGGAGAAAAACTTTTCGATGGGCACATCGAACTTCTTGGAGAACACGACAGTCAAGCGAGGATCGATGTAGTTCTGTCCGCTGTATCAGTACTCGTCTACTTCCGTCTCTCTCGGTAGGGAAAGGCTTGTTTGGAGACAAGTGCAAAGAAAAGAATGTGAGAGAAAAAAAAAAACTCACCAGCTTCGAGGTGGTCAGGGCGACCTCCTTGTTACCGTCACGGTCCTCGGCTTGTGTCTCGAGGACCTTGACACGGTCATCAAGCTTCTCAATAGACTTCATCAACTTGTCCACTGTGACACCCTTGCCCTCCGCTTCAACCTTGTTCGTCTTGTTCTCCTTCTTGAACTTGGCCTCGAGCTCCTTGACTGCTTGGAGGCGCTCCTTGAGCTCCTTCTCGGGCAGAGGCTTCTCCTTATCGGCCTTACGCTTCTCATTGTCCTTCTCGAACTTCTTGGTGATCTTGGTGCGCAGCTCCTCAACGAGGAACTGCTGGTGCTCCTGGATCCAAGCTTGGTCGAGGTCGTCGTCGAGTTCGAACCAAGCGGCGCCCTTCTTCTTCTTCTGCGTAGGATCGAGATCCAAGATCATCTTCTTGGTCCGCCACTTCTGGTACCGAAGCCCTTTGATCTAGGATGCGTCAGAAACAGACGGTACATCGACACCACGGGACCCGCGTCCGCCACTTACCCTATCACCGAGTTTCTGCATCTGTTGCTCGTGTCCGGCCCCCACAGTACGCTTGTGATTACATAGAATGGCCACCTTGCGGTTGCAGTCGTTATACAGCTTGACTTTCTCGGCAATGGTCCCACGCGAACGAGGGTCGTTCTCAAGCTCGTTGAGAAGCTGTCCCATCGTCCAAGAGGCGTTGTAGGTACGGAACACCTTGGCAGTCAGGCCTTGCATGTAGCTGTTGAGATGCTTGTTGAGTTGCGAGGTCTGGCAGAGGGGGAAGGGGCAGACACGTTAGCATCATGTGCGGGTCTATAGGTAAGAAGAAGCATTTGCGCAGGGAAGGAAGGACTGCTCACAGTTAGACGGTCAAACACGTCATCGCCGTCGGTTTTGGGTGCCTTCTTGAAGAGCTTGAGGTTCTTGAAGACTTGTGGCTCGACCTGGGCAGTCTCGTTGTAACGGATACTGTCCTTGCCCAGGAAGTCGAACGTGACCTTGTTGGGGGGCTCGAGGGAGATGTGCTCGTACTTGAGGGAGCAGCAGCCGACAGTCTCCGCCTCGTTCTCCGTGTCCTTCTCATTGCCTGCTCGTAGGGCGAGCTTGTCGATGAGGTACATGGCCGTGGCTCTCTGACGGTCCGCCATGACCTCGCTCTTGAGTTCCTTGGTGTAGTCCTTGCGGATCCTCTCGATATGATTCTTCAACTCCCGGGCCTTCTCAAACTTCTTGTAGTCGCTCTGGCCCTTGATATCGCTGGAGGCGGCAAGCATGACGTACTTGTAGGCTCCGTTGATGTTCTCCTGCCACATGGCCAGCCAGGTTGCCTTTTGATCGTGCTGGACAGCCTTCCACTTGTGGCCCTTGGGAGGCTCGGGGACCTTGGCATCCTTGCCAATGTTGATAGTGATCTGCTCCGGCTGTACTCGCGTCTTGATCTTCCCAGTCTTGGGGTGCTCGCCACGTCCACGGAACAGACTGGGCGGTTCGACCCTGAAGTTGCCCACCTTTTGCTTCCGGCCGTCCCACATGCAATGTGTAAAGGGCGCCTCCATCTCCTCCTTCTTCTTCTTGGCAGCATCCTTCTCCTCCTTGGAGAGGTTCTTGGTCTTGGCAGCTTCTGTCCTGGCTATCCAGTACTCGGCCATCTTGGTGAAGTCGCACTTTTCAAGACTTTTGATCTGGACCTTGTTCCCTTGCAGGTCGGTGGCACCGTACTTTTTGACGAACTCGGAAAAGTCCTTGAAGAAGTTTTCACGGAATTTGGGGTTCTCCAGATGATGAGACGAACCTTGCGTCATCATGGCACACCAGAAAGTGGCTGCCTCCTCTGCCTCGACGCTGAGCTGGATGGGCTTACCGTCGTACAGCATCCTGACGTGCTTAGGGAGGGGCTCGTACGGAGGCGCGAAGAGGACGCCGTTGTGCTCCAGCGTCTGCCACTTTATGGTGTCGTCTTCCGGCTTGGGGGCGTTCCACCAGGCATACTCGTCCTCATCCTCGTCGCTCGTGGGCTTCGACTTGGCTCTCTTGCTCTCCTTGCTAGGGGCAGCAGCCGCCTTGCCCTTCCTTGCGGGCGCAGCCTTGGTCTTCCTCGAGATGGGCGCATCCGAGTCGGACTCCTCCTTCTTAACTCCGTTCGACTTCCTCTTGGCGGCCGTAGAGCCCGTAGACTGACGCTTGGCGGCCGCCTTGGCCATGGGCCTGTCGTCATCAGACTCATCCTTGACGGCCTTTTTGGCCTTGACACCGTTCTTGGCAGGGGTGGGCTTCTTGGTGCGTTTGGCGCCTAGCGGCGCGTCATCGTCGGAGGAGTCGGCGTACGTTGCAGGGGGCTTTCGGCCTCGGGACTTGTTTATCGGCTCGTCATCCGTGTCGGAATCCGCGGCCTTGGTACTGGGACGGGGGCGCTTGGCCTGTCGTCATTGTTTCGCGTCAGCCAGCACGCCACGGCCGGACAGGCCCGGCCACAAGGATGGAGGGGGCTAACGTACCAGAGGCTGGGAAGCGTCCTCGCTGTCAGACTCTTCTTTGTAGGTCGGCTTCGAAATGGAACTGCGGGACTTCCTCTTGTTGCCGTTGGTGGCAGGGGAGTCGACATCCATGCTGTCGCTGGCGCGGGCTGCGAGAGAAAGGTCAGAACATAGGCAGGACACAGGGAGGAATCGAGGACGGAGAAACGGGTGCAGTTCATGACGAGAAATGATGACAAGGAGGGAGTGGGCCGGGGACAGGAAGAAGAAGAGAAGTGAAAACGGGTTGCGCTCCTAGGCGTTCTCGAGGAGCGCCGTCTTCGAGTCGGAAGGGCAGAAACCAAGTAAACGCAGGGCAGCGACCAAGGAAAACCCGAAAAAAGTGATGAGGCACGCACCGTGGCCGTTGGACCGCGAAAGGGGCATATCGTCGTCGGAACTGTCAGACGCCATGTTGTTTGGCTAGTCGAGGTTGTGCTGCTGGCGTGGATAGCAGATGACGTGGGATAATCTGCAGCGACGGCGTTGAAGAGAGAGGGAAAGAGACTTGGAGGTTAGAGGAAAAAGGTGAAGAGTGAAGCAGAGGTGGGCGAGCCACCCCGTGAAAGACCAGTAGGTTCGTGTGGTTCGAAATTGACGATACGAGGGCTAGGGAATTGGTAGTGAAGGAGAGGACGCAGGACAAGGAGAGAGAGAAGAAGGAAGACCACAGGGTGGAATGCGCCAGAGGAGAGCGTGGCGGGTGAGGCTTCTTCTCTCTTGGCGCGAACTTCCCATCGGTAACAAACGAGAGGCCCACCCGTCCAGGTCACATGACCTTTCCAACAACGTGTGCCTACGAGCATGAGTAGCCAACCTTGGACCGATTCTGTGTCGCTTCCGAGAGAGAAGATAAAACTAATCATGCTGCATTATCACATTGTTTCTTCTCCTTCTCCTCCTCCTCCTTCTTCCTTTCTTTTTTTTCTTTTCAGACCTTAACGGCGATACAAGGAGAAGGACAGATGCCACATATTACGTCTCCTTGTGCCATCCATCTCTCGGGGCCGATACAAGGTGATGATTGTGGATGTGCAACGCACCACATGGTTCGACAAACAAGAGGGTATCGACCAATGTTCGGGGGAGAAAAATCCAAGGAACAGGAACAGTGAAACGGGCAGTCAGCGGGGGTGACTCTGATTTTCAAATCCAGTACCAACCTGAAGCCCATGGACAATGAAGCAAAAGGTGGCAAGGCGCTGCTGCGTTGCAGTCAATTGCGCGAGCAGGTAGGTACTCGTACGGTACACGTATTTCTTGGACTTGCACGTGATGTCAGAGTCTAGACTCTGCCTCCTAGACTCTGCCTTAAGCTGTAGACTCTGCGGGAGTACAGGTTACATCTGTACAGGTCCGTGAGAGTTCTCGTATATACGTACATGTGCTCCGTAATCTGTAATCTGTACCGATTAGACTGTACAGAGTAGTAATATCAGTGAGAGAGAGAGAGAGAGCCAGAGGGCCCTAGCGCCAGCCATGATAGCAGAACCTAGTACTTACTGGGGTAGCTCCCCAGTTTTAGCGCCTTAGGGAGCTTCTGGGGTGGCTTGTTGGCAGTTGCTACGGCGGATGGACGGACGCCAAGGTGGAGACTCTCTTGGACTTCCACTCTGAGTCCTCAGGCACCACTTCCCTCTTTTTTTTCTCTGTTTAGGGAACAAGTCGGGAAGATATTCACGTGACCTTCCCATCCCAGCCGCGAATTTACCGGGAAAATAGCGAGCAAAGACGGGAAGGACAGCCATCCATCCACCCCAAAGCAAAAGGCCCGTCACCAGAAACGCACCCTTATCCCTCTCCCCACCACCTGATCCAATTGATTCCCTGTCCCCGACAAGAATCAATTGAGCCACCGTTGGCAGAGGCTCGATCATTTTCGTATTCCCTCTCGTCGTAATACCTCCTCCCATCATCCAACATGCTGTCCCGTACGGCCCGTCCGGCTCTCCGCGTTGCGGCTGCAGCTCCCATCCGGTAAGTCCTTCTGTCTGAGAGGATTCCGATTGCCGAAGCTTTGGTCCGAAGAACTAGGGGGAGGGAAGAGTGACAGAAAACGACCGACCGACAAGACGACGACGACGAAGACGATGATCCGGAATGACGGAGAATTTGGGAAGCGGGATTTAAGAGGGAAAAAAAAAGGACGATGGAACATGAGAGCTAATAACCTTTTTTTTTTTCATTAAAAAAACAGTGCTGCTGCCGCTCCCAACAGTGTCGCCGGCTATGCGACGCTCCGTGAGATCGAGGGTCGCCTCAAGTCGATGAACAACATGAAGAAGATCACCAACACGATGAAGGTCGTCGCCTCGACCAAGCTGACCCGCGCTCAGCGTTCCATGGAGGACTCGCGCAAGTACGGCGAGTCGGCCAATGTCGTCTTTGACGCCGCCGAGACCAAGACGGCCGCCGCCGCCGAGGGTGAGGAGGCCAACAAGTCCCTCATCATCGTCTGCTCCTCCGACCGTGGTCTTTGCGGTGGTATCCACTCCGGTCTGAGCCGTCGCGTCCGCAAGCTCTTCGCCGAGGAGGGCCCCTCGGACCTCGTCATCATCGGCGAGAAGTGCCGCGCCCAGCTCTCCCGCTCCAACGCCAAAGAGATCCAGCTCTCCTTCTCCGGCGTCGGTCGCAACGTCCCTACCTTCGCCGACGCCCAGACCATCTCCGACCAGATCTTGGCCCTTCCCACCGAGTACTCGAGCGTCAAGATCCTCTACAACAGCTTCGTCAACGCTCAGAGCTACGAGGCCGATTTCCTTGAGGCATTTTCCGAGGAGGCCATCACCCAGTCCCGTATGTCAACCACCACCAGCGCCGCTGAACTACTGCAAAACACACGCACACACACACCTCTCTCTCAATCCACCCCCCTCACCCTCCTCTTCTCCCATGAATTCCCCATCATCTCTCTTTCTCCGGACCTACCTACTAACATCCCACCCAGCCAACATCTCCGCCTTCGAGGTCGAGGAGGAAGCCATTGCCAACCTCCGCGAGTACTCTCTCGCCAACACCCTCTACTGGGCTCTTGCCGAGGGCCACGCTTGCGAGATGTCTTCTCGTCGCAACGCCATGGACGTATGTTTTCTCTCCCTCTCCCCTCCTTTCCGCCGTCTCCCTCCCTTCCAGATGACTGACACACAGACCCCCCCCCTTTTTTTTTTTTTTTGAACAGAATGCCACCAAGAACGCTGGTGAGATGATCACCAAGCTCCAGATCCAGTACAACCGTACTCGCCAGGCCGTCATTACCGGCGAGCTGGTTGAGATTATCACCGGTGCCACCGCCTCCGCCGACATGTAAAGTAATCAATCATATGCCCTCGGGCGGATCAACATTGGAGAGTTTCTTGCCAGCCAGCAGCGAAAGGAAGAAGAAGATCAAACAAAAATCTACATTTTTTTCTTTACTCTCTTCCTTTTTCCTTTGTATCAAACTCACACACAACAACCACCTTATTGGCGAACTTTTCTTTTCCGCGATCTTCGTCAACAATTGTACCAGAGACACCAATATACTATTTCCTTTATTACTGGTGAACAATGCAGTGCTTTGTGGAGTCCATCAACGTTGTTTGATGAATTTTGTGAATGTGAAGGAATGGAATGCTCATAATCAACGTCCTTCCCCCCCCTCCGATCAATACCAAGAAAAGGAAACATCTAAAAAAAAACTCTACGACAGTATATGCCCATATTACTACTACTAGTATTCGTACACGCAACAGATCCAATCGAACTTGCGCGCGCGCGCCATCTATGATACCAATAACCAAAAAAAAGGAAGAAACCGAACCCCCCCCCCCCTCCTCCCAGCTTCAATGCTCAGCATAGCTTACAGGTCTCGTCCGGCGATATTTTTGCTGCGGCTGCGATGGTGACTGCATCTGTTGCCCACCTTCCTGCCTGGCAGCAGCAACCTCGTACGGCCCGGGGACGCTAGGATGCTCCCTCTCGTACGCCTCGCGCAGGACGGCCGCTTGTCCGTCCCACTCCTCCAGCCGGCGCTTGTACCTGTCCATGGCGTGCGCGTAGTCGCTCTTGTTGGACGCGGCCCTGTCCTCGTAGGGCCTGCGGTCCTCGGCCGAAGCCTCTTTCCACATCTTGGACATGAGGATGCGCACGTCGTTGGAGAGGGTCTTGTTGGTCTTGTTGGCCTTGCGGGTCGCCTCGCACGTCCTGCGGACCTCATCCGAGTGCTCCCTGCTGTAGATCTGGTAGGCGATGGTGGCCGGTCTGTTGGGCGGGAGGGGCCGGTCGCCGATCCTAGAGCGCACGTGGTCCCATACCTCGAACTCGTACGCGTCGAGGCGCGCCTGCCGCGGGTCCAGGGCCGCCTTCTTGCGCTTGTGGAGGAGGAGCGAGTCCTTGGGCAAGACCAGCGGCGTCGGCACTTCGATCGGGCCCAGCATCGCCTCGAGCACCTCCGACGCGGCCCGCAGTCCGGACAGGTATGCGCCGTGCACCGTGGCCGGGTGCGACCCGATCGTGTGCTCGCCCGCGAAGTAGAGGTTTCCCACGGGCCGCGCCATGACATCGTAGTCGTCCGGCTGCATGCCCGGGGCCGCCGACGAGTAGCTTCCCCTGGCGAATCGGTCCGACCCCCACCGCGTGACGATGGTCTCGACCGGATACGGCACGTCGCGGCCGAAGACGCTGCGCAGGAGTTCCGTGGCCTCGGCGACTAGGCTGTCGTTGCTCGAGTGCTCCGTGTCGAAGCCGGCATCGCCCGCCATCAGGGCGATAAGGCAGGGGAGACCACTCGTGTTGGACACGTTGAACCACTGGAAGAATCGCCCGCGACTGCCCGAGTAGTCACCCTGCGACGTGCTGTGGCGGTTGGGGGCGTCTCTCAGAATTCCGAAGATGTGCCTCTGCGAATCCCAGAAGACCTTGTCGTACACGAGGACTACCTTGTTGAGGATGCCGAAGCCGAGGCGGTCAACGGCGCCGGCCTTCCACGGCGGCAGCGGCGGGTCGAATATGACCGTGTTCTGCTTCAGGACGCCCAGCGGGATGGTACACACGACGCTGTCTGCCTGGACCACGGTGCCGTCCTCGCACTCGATCGTGGCCGTTCCTTCGTAGTCTACGGCGTTGTAACGGATCGCCTTGACCGGCGCCTGGGCCCTGAGGCTGAGCGAGTCGGGGCAGTGGAGAAGGCCGCGGGCCACGCTCTGGTAGCCGCCAACGACCATGGTGTGCTGCCCTTCCCACTCGTTGCCCGCGTCGATGTCCCACAGCGGAAGGCTTAGTTTGTGTAAGTTGGTGGCGTTGCTATACTCTAGGTTGGCAATGTGCCAGTTGATCAGCCGGTGATCCTGGGCGTTCAGGTCGACCATCTGCTTATACTGGGAGATGGCATAGTCGAGGACAGAACCGAGTGTGGCTCCGTCTGCCGTCGTGGCCGGGCGGAGGTCGATGGTATCCGAACCCGCCGCCGATCCGGGCTTGACCGTCCACCCCATCAGCCGTGCCTTGTCGGACGCTTTGTGCGTCGCGGGGACACCGGGCTGGGTATGCACGCGGCCAGTCAGCTTATCAGACGAGACGGGCACCATGCTGACCTGCTCTGGGACACTCTGCTTCGATACGGGAGGAGCGTGAGGTAGTGCTGCCATAGCCTCCTCGGCCTGCATGATGGTCTTGCTTCCATCTCCGGGGCTGTCTCGGCCTTCGTCCATGAGCTCGTGGTTCCCCTCGATGAGCTTGGACTGCGGGGGCATGTATTTGAACTCGCTCACCCGGTCGAGGCAATCATTATACAGCTTCTCAATGAGCTGGTCTCTTTCCGAATCCACGGGCCTGCCATTGGTATCGTATATCGTCGTGTCCGGCGAAAGGGCGTGGTACGGCAGGGCCAACTGCCCTCTGACGAGGATGTTGATGGGATTGCCACGATCGAAGCCCGTTATGATCATGCCGCCCATCTCGGCAGTATGCCGCTTCCCCTGGAACGACGGGTCCGCCTCCGCCGGTCTGGTCTTGAACTCCCGCGAGTACACCCTGCCGCCGACACGGCTCCGTCCCTCGATGACCACCACTCTGGGCGGTTCGTCACCTTTCTCGCGAAACCGGTCTGCGTGTTGCCTGCACAGCCCTTCCAGCTGCCTGGCGCATCCCAGCCCCGATATCCCGGCGCCAATGACGGCAATGGTCTTCTGCTTCTTACGCGGCGACCCTTCCGTGTTCGAAGCGCCGTCGGCTGAATGCGGTATGTTGACGCAGCCAAAATTGATGTATCCTCGGCGGACGAGCCAGTCGTAGCAGACGCTGGCGGCGTCGAACCAACGAGTGTTGGCACATCCTATGGCTGACGCGCGCGTGACGTATTCCCAAGGTTGCCGTATCCACAGTCGCAGTATGCTATTCCGGATGTTGAGATAGGTAGTTACTTGAGCGTGGGAGATGTGATGCCGGAAGAGATGGTACTCTTCGGGATGCAGGGCATAAGGGTTGAGCCTTGACATTTCGGCAGCCAAGATGCACTCGCTGGCATACTGCTGGCTCGGAATATCTCTGGGGATTGACGACTTTGGTTGGATATGGAGAGCTAGCCTCTCGACGTTGCGGCGGTATGAAGGCTGGTGGTATGCGTTTTGCGGTCCTTCGCCGCCCACTCGCCCCCTCGACACATCCGCCTCGACGGGCGTCGTCGCTTTGCTGGTATTCGTCGACGATAACGACGGGAGTTCTGATACTTCGGACAGGACAGAGGAGGTGAGGGAGTTTCCCGCTCCGTCGTTGGTTGTGTGCCCGTTGGGGGCGTCGTGATCCAGGGTGTCTTCCTCACCGCTGGCAAGGAAAAGAGAAGGAGAGTTAGTGTAAGTCCTATGACATGTATATACAGATATATATATATATATATATATATATATATACAAAAGGGGCGTGACTGGATAAAAAAAAAAGGTCATTTACTTACACGCTGATGTCCATATCCGAGGAGCCGGCATCCTCGCCCTCGTCTTCTTCCCCATCTTCATCGTCGTTGTCGTCGCCGTTGCCCATATGCATGCCTTCGGTCCAGACCACTATACCCTTCGAACTTATCTCAGACATTTCTGGCGACGGCGACGTCTTTTTTGATGCGTGCCCTGGCTCGGGGGAGGCCGTCTCGTCCTTGATAACTAAGGAGGACAGGGGTGTCGGTAAGTACGTAAATTCTAGAGGCTTATGGTCCTCCATCTCACCTGGGGTCGAGGAGGCGGCATCCGAACGGTATGCCGGTTGTGAAGTCATCATTCGTCGCTATCTTCTGTGCGATTTGAAGGTTTCCGTCGCAGGTTCAACGATGGTATGAACATGTAATGTATTTATATGCATATATATATATATATACATATATACATATACATGTGTGTGTGTGTGTGCGTGTGTGTATACGGCGTACCAGTATGATGATGCTACTGGGTGTAGGCTAGCAAGTCGTCGTTTACGGCGGTGGCACACTGGTCAAATGAGGCCAATGCATCCTCCGGCGTATCAGAATCGGATGTATACACCTGCGATGCCATGTTAGTCCCAGTCCAGCCTTGGATTCCCATATGGCGCAAATCAGCAGTTGCAGAACATGACTGACCGGATGTGGGACCAGATGTGGTCATAGAGAGATGACGGTGGCTGGGTCTCGATGTAGAGGGTAAAAAAAAAAGCAAAAGAGGCACGTATAGTTCAGTTCATCGCAGGGTGGGACGGTGATGCTGTGCAACGTGGCATTTGACGGTGAACATTGAGAAAAAAAAAGGATGGCCCTTGCCAAATATATGGTTGGTGATGGTCATCGGCCGGCAATGTGCGCCACTTGGTCTAGACACCCCTCAAAGAGGGAAAGGAAGTCATCGTCGGCTGATTGATCACGTGTTACACGACTGGCCATCTCTGGTAGTGTGTGTGGGTGTGGGTCCCGCCTCCCGCCGGCGTCAACCTCCTTCATACGTCGTCGTATTAACACCACCTCATCCATACCCATTGACTGACTAGATGCCCCGTCTCTCCGAGTCTCTACTCCTTCCGCCCGCGATGAGAGAGAAGAAAAAAAAGCATATACATTTGTCTAGAACACGATTCTCCTCCGCTGGATATCCTCCCCCTGCAGACACTCGCCAATGCTGACGGCTCAGCCTGACTCCTCGGGCTTATCCTTAGCAAAGGACCCCTTTTCGATGGCAGCATCCATCATTCTGTTGCCGCTAATAATGGAAGTTGTGCAGATTATAATTCTTCTCCGATCTGAACGATAGAATAAGACAGGAGTCAGCAAAGCAAGTTTTAGAGAGACTGGAGGGAGGAAGATGGAAAAATCCTTAAACTTACCCTCCTGCTGCTTTGCCATGAACCTCAATGCCGCAATCTCGGTAAACGTGATACCACCCACAAATACAACAAAGACAGTTTGCTTATTCCCACTCCCGGATAGGAGGGCCTTGGCCTTGACAGCCTTATCCTCGCCCTTCTGGTGCTCGTAGAAAGTCTGGCCACGAACGTGCTTCAGGGCATCGTCGAACCCATGCCATCCCTGGGTCGTCGTGCTAGAAGAATTGACGGCACTGGCCGCACTGCTCGTACCGCCTCCCCTGACCATGTTCCAGAGATACTGCTTCTGCAGTACGCACTGGACGAGTCGTATCGACAAGGGCGCGTATCCGCTATATACGTAGGCCACGTCATTGGGGTCATCTTCTTGAACTTCGTCGACAATAAGCCGGAGCTGTTTCCGGAGATATGTGTAATTGGTCTTGGACCCGGTCGACCCGGAACTCCCCGCCATGGGTATCATACCGGCCAGCGGGGATGATTTGGAGAGGAACAGCTGGAGCTTCTCCAGGTTGTGCAGGGTCAGGAGGTGCTGGTGGCCGTAGCCCTGGAGGATGAGACGGCGAAAGTGGTCGAATTCTTTGGGTTTGATGCCCCCCGATATGCACGAGTAGATGCAGAGAAGACGCAAAGTCTCTCGTATAGGCGTCTCGCGAGCGACGAGCTCCTCGAGCCGGTCGGATTGGGATGACGGGTCGGCACCGGCCGCCAAGTTCTGCTGCACCTCTAGTAGGCCCTTGAATTGGTCCGTCCGCGTATGCCTGATGATCTCCTCGGCCAGACCTGTGTGTATCCGTACACTCTGCTGTTCCTGCTGGTAGCCGGGGAGCTGTCCCACAAACTCCTTGAGCTCGGCAATCGTCTTGGTCTTGGTTTTGGTCTCATAGTCCGAGTGCATCTGCTGGAGCCTCCTGGCAACCTTGTTGAGCAGCGATCCGACAATGGCGAAGTTGGCGTCGCGGAGCTGATGGTACAGCTTGTCGCTCGAGTCGAGCTGGATGGTGCGTTTCCTGCTCTGCGCCGTAGCCGACGACGACTGGGTCGGCACGCCGACAATGGTGGTGTCGACTTTGGCCTGGTTGTTCTGGATCTCGAACACCTCGTCAATCAGCCCTTCGTACGTGAGTTGCGTGAGCAGTGGCGTGACAAAGTCGACCTCACGATCGATGATGATGACGCTCTCGTTCGTGGTGCTCGGTGCCAGCCCAACACCCCCCGTCTGCGCCGCGTCCTCTCCAGCCAAGACCTCTTGCCTCATGCGAGCTAGGAGGTCTGCAACTCGCTTCGCATTATCGCCCTTGCCGATCATTCGAGGGAAGAGACCGTGATTCTGCTGTATCTCCATGAGCGCCTTGGCCATGAGGAAGTTTGGCGTAACATCCTTAGACAGGTACAAATCTCGGAATGCATCGCCCAGCTCGAGCGACAGGACGTCATTCTCCAACGGGAAGAATAGCAACGGGAGCTCTGACACGCTCACATCGCCGAGGACACCAGCCTCCTCGAGCAGCTGGTCAGATACATTAGTGCGGCGGGGCACCCAGAAGATGTGGAAGTCGTGGCCAGTCTGGCTCTCTCGTTGGACTCGTTTGATCTGCGCTGGAGAGAGTAAACAACGTCAGCGCACGAGGGCGGCTTGTTCCTCAATGGACGTCCACCGCTATTCACTAACCAGCTATGTTATCCGCGTGCTTGGCGCACTCGCCACGGGCGATGAAGATGACGTTGCGCTGGCTGGCGTCGACATTATTGTTCTCGAGGATAAAGAACTTGTCGACACCGTACTCCTGAAGCGTCGAAACCTTGACGACAGTTCCGATGGGGCCAACTAAACTGCGGTCGAGGACCACATTCTTCTTACCCCGGACCTAGAAGCGTGTGAAGAGGCAGAGAACCAGTCAGCTTGCCCGCTCAGCTCTAGGGAGGGGCGGGAGAGAGGGGAGCCTTACTTACACCCTCGAGCAGGTAGAGAATGTCCCTGCGTGCCTTGTTGCGCACTTGGTCGATGCTGAATTCGGGGCGAGGAGCCATTGTGGCTCACCGCAAGGACGAGATAAGACGCAGGCTTGGGCGTTGTGGTGAGCGAGAGGGAAGCTGAGCTGGAGATGGTAGATCGTTGCTCGGCGGGCGGTGAGTGCAGCTACCTGAACGGGAGYYTTTTTTTTKDGGGRGGGGGGGGGGGGTKGGGAGGGACGGGTAAGCAGTTCTAGGCACGCGGGGCGCTAAAAGGAAACATTGCTGACAATGAGTAGCCACCGGGACCTGTCTGCCCCACGTTGCTAACCTGCGACGTCATCAGGGACGAGACCTTATGCTGCTATATAGCATGACTACTCGTAGTATTCCAAGATACTGTCACTATGGCGGATGCAGTTAGTTTCGATATATGTAGAGAGCATGACTATACGGAAGCAGGATCGTATGGAAAATGATGCATGTTTGGCTGCAAAATGGAAAGAAGCAGCCATGTCCTCTCACGCCAACAGATATCGTTCTATGTACTGCTAAGTAACATAGGTATCAAGTCCCCAGGATCATGCGACTCTGGCCGGTCCCGGCCATGAATAATTTGTACAAGTAGTTGTGCGTGTTGCAATATGGAAGGCCCTTACTCCAGTTCAGTAGATGTTTCGGCGAGACTCGACCCCGCCTCAGCTCTGATGAGGCCACTCTCTGAGTCCCTTGGCCTATATACCCGGTATACCATGCACTTTTTTTTGTCTCTTGTTTCCCAACACCTGCCAACCTAGAAGAAAAGCTCGACTGGCTGCATCGGAATTGTGATGCAGGGCCTGATATGCCGAGGTATGCGGTGTCTTCCCTCTGCGGCATGTGCTCGATCCCGAACATGTAATGTCTCCCTTTCTTTTACGGTATGGTGGTGACCGGCTTCTTCTTCCGCGGAGCCTTGAACCGAGCTTTCCGCTCTCGTCGGGTGAGATGACCGAAATTCTTTCGTTTCAGGCTATACCGTGTTGTCGTCGTATCTAAACTGTATGTCGCGGGGTCTCTGCCTGTTTCCTCGAACAAACTCCTCGTCGCCCGGCGGACGCTCGTTCTTGGTGTTGCTGGTCAACATGCTCTGGATGCTCATGCACACGCTCTGGGCGCTCTGGACGGGACTCCAGCCCTGGTTCCCCAGAAGATCGAGGCAGATTATGCCGTTGGAGTATATGTGTGGATGGATAGGGATCGGTCGATCGGGCCGGCTCTCAAACGTAACCTCGGGTGGTTCTGGGAGGGGTCAGACAAAGAAGCGACCCGAGAGAAGAGGAAGGGCGCGCAGGAGATGAGCGGTTAAGGAAATGAGCTGCACAGGAGGGGGCCCACCTATTGGGTATGCCTTGGGAAAATGAAAGCGCAGTCTGTATATCTGGTCCTTGTAGAGAGGATTCTGGTCAAGGACACGGATGTCGAGGAGCCAGTCGCTGATGTCACCATCATCACCACCCGACGAGACGAGCTCAATACCAGGAGGCAGTCCGTCGCCTCTGATCTGCATTCGAAGAAGTCAGAATTCGAATATTGATCCTTCCCGAGAAACCTCACATGCAACGCTGCGCGTCGGGCCATCAGAGAGAGGCGTCGGGGGCGGGCGGACAGAGGGGCCCGTCGATCGATGGACTTCCCTTCCTTTCAACTCACCTTTGCCAGCTCCTTGGACAAACGCTTAGTGCACATTCCCACCGCCATATTGCTACAAAGAGGTTGGCAGCCAGCCAAAAAAAAGACTCCGGGATCTATGCAGAGGGCCACCGAGAATGAAAAGAGTTACACCAGGAAAAATAAAATAGAAAATGCAGGGTTGTGGGAGGGGAGACGAGCGAGAGGTGAGGTGAAGCTGGATCAGATGGACGCTTGGCGTTATCGCTATCAGGCGGGGGTTCTTAAGGCATAGACGTAGCGTGCACGTAGTATTATTGCTAGTAATGATCTGTAGAGTACGAGCAGTAATAATAGTAACTAGTCTCAGGCTTTATTAATGCTACAGTTCAAAAGTCTCCGGTCCACTCCACTTATCTTAGTAGCCACCAGAATCGTCAAGCATTAGTGCTTTAACTTCAACATCAAATAATAGACTATAGGGTCATATACTAGTAAAAAAAAAAGGGTATAGGTTAAAAGAGGAGTATCTACATTTAATATTCCGTATACCAACCGCCATACTTTTCTGCCTCTTTGCTGGCATAAAAGTAGAGCTGTCCTTGTCTGCTGTGTTCCGACAAGGACCGTGCCGAGTTTGACTGTACAGGCGTCAAGGTTCTTGTCCTATTTTAGTATCGTAGTGCCGGACTCGACGGTTTTATTGTCGAGTCGGGCTTACCTAAGCTAATACGCTTTTTCTAGGATAGGTATATCCTCCTCTTGTTGATGTTTAGCAGCCTCGTTCTATCACATATAGCTCTATTTATTTCTTGGTATTGGAATCACAACACAGCATATGACAGATAAGTGTGCTTCATAAGGGTAACATCGCCTGATGCACTCCATACCAACATGTTAGTAGTACTCGTAGACAATGGCCACAGCAGTCTGGGGATCTGCCGCCTGGGGCGCCTGACACGTCACACCAAATTCCAGTGGTATTGGTTCCGAATGATTGAGAAAGCGGCATATATGAAGCCCTTTTGTACCACGACAGTATCCTAAACAAACTCGCTAGGCTGCCACTTTTGATTCGCATATGCTACTAACCGGAGACAGAAGAGGTTTTGCGTGAAGCGTCAAGATGGCCATGCTGAGGCACATGTGACTTATAGCGTAGCTCTCCTCTCTTTTCTTCTTGAATGCTAATGTTGCGGCCACAGCGAAGACGGCGATGCACGAATAAGCAATTCCGACCACGCATCTTGAAAGGAATATTCAGATGAAATCATGATGTGATGGGCGCTGGTGGTGCTGGTATAAGTCAAAGAGCCAAGAGTCCAATTGCGCGTTCGTCGCCCTATCATTACGACGTACATGTGCTCCGTAACACAGCACACAGCCACACTCAGCCTTGCCAGGCCGTCGTAGGCAGCCCCGTCGGTCGCTACATACATGTAGTATCCCAATAGATTCAGGGCGACGTCTACGGGCCCAGGCAGGCTACGCCCGAGTCTTTGTTGGTGGTCGTAGAGGGCTGCTGGTACGCTGGGTAGCCTAATACTGCGAGGTACTCCAGTCCTGGAGGTCTCCATCAACCGACCGCGCTGCGGCACAAGTCAGCCGTCAGCCTACAGGTAATTTCAGCACAGCCACATGCTCTGGGTGAGGCACTTGGGCAGATTCGTGATATTACACCGGGGGGGCCAGAGGCTACCTACCAGTCTTTGTCTACTTGGTGCAGAGCGATGTAGTTACTCGTCGGTCGCCCCGTATTATACCGTCAGTAATGTATTTGTACGGGCAGTAGTGCTCCCGGATAAAGTGCAATTATTCAGAGGCCTTGGCTCGGCCGCATGTGGTATATATGCCGCGCTCCCATCTAAAGACCTCGATGGTACCGTCTAATCGATATTTCTCCTTCCTCACAACCCCATAACCCCATACTACCCATACGCTACTGGCACTAGGCTCTAGCACTTTGCCAGCACGGCCTTGTACTCGTGTTAACATACGCACATCGTGCCAAAGGATCCCCTGCTTCTCCCTCCCCCTCCTCTCTCGAATAAAACACCCCACATCTCCACGCCGCCCTTTTCGCAAGAAGAAAAAAAAAGTCACCGCTTTGCTATACTGTTCGGGAGGCTTCTTTGACTCTCGAAGAAGTCGTCTTGGGAATATTCTCACATTTCCTTCAATTCATTCTATATATTTCGGCGCTGCACCAAGCTAGGACACATCTGCAGTCCTCCCCTCAGCTACGATGAGTTGTACGTCACCCCGCCATCGCGCGTGATTGCTTTCCCAGCCCTACGCCGCCCGGGCGTCTTTCCCTCCTTTCCTGCGACGACGCCTTGAGGACGGACTACACCTCTTGTTCTTGGTCTCATGCTGACATCTTCTCCCTCTAGTCGCCGGCATGCTCAACCGCCTGGGTGGCCAGCCTGAGAGCTACGACAAGAAGTACGAGAGATAGACCCCGCGCACCTTCCCCCGCCGTTCCTCGCGATCGTCACACGCGCCGCCCAAGACGAGACCTCGAAGCTGATTACTCGCAACACAGGTCCAAGTACAGGTTCGGCCGCACTCTCGGCGCCGGTACATATGGTGTCGTTCGCGAGGCCGAGGGCCCTACCGGAAGGGTCGCCATCAAGATCATCCTGAAGAAGAACGTCAAGGGCAATGAGGGGATGGTCTACGACGAGCTGAACATGCTCCAGAGACTGAAGCACCCGCACATTGTCCGATTCGTCGACTGGTTCGAGTCGAGAGTACGTACCGACCGAGAACTTCCAGGAAACAGCTTGAAGGGGTCTGCTTGCTGATGGCTCTACTTTTGTACAGGACAAGTTCTACATTGTCACCCAGCTGGCTACGGGCGGAGAGCTGTTTGATCGCATCTGTGAGCAGGGCAAGTTCACCGAAAAGGACGCGTCCCAGACCATCAAGCAGGTCCTCACGGCCGTCGACTACCTGCACGAGAACGGGGTTGTCCACCGTGGTATGTCCCCACAGTCTTGCTCTCGCGTCCTCGAGATACGAGACTGGTTATGCTGACCCGGAGAACGCCGAGATGCTAGACCTCAAGCCTGAGAACCTCCTGTACCTGACCAAGGAAGTCGACTCTGACCTGGTCCTGGCCGACTTTGGTATTGCCAAGACGCTCGACGGCAAGGAGGAGGCTCTGCACACCATGGCCGGATCCTTTGGATACGCCGCACCAGAGGTCATGGACCGCAAGGGCCACGGCAAACCTGTGGACATGTGGTCCCTGGGTGTCATCACCTACACCCTTCTCTGCGGCTACTCTCCCTTTCGCAGCGAGAACCTGAGAGACCTGCTAGAGGAGTGCACTTCTGGCTCCGTCGTCTTCCACGACAGGTACTGGAAGGACGTCAGCGAGGACGCAAAGGATTTCGTCAACAAACTGATTGTTCCCGAGCCTGAGAAGAGGTCCACGAGCAAGGTAAGATCCGAGTTCGCTCGCAGAACATGCCATTCGTGCATATTTGAATGGCTGGCTGACTCTCGTCAACAGGAGGCATTGAACCACATCTGGCTGAGCGGCAAGAACGCCACCGACCATGACCTACTGCCCGAGATCCGCACCGCCCGCGAGGCGAGGGCCAGGCTCAAGCACGCCATCCTGGCTATCAGTCTCAAGAAGCGCCTCGCCGCCCTCAAGGCCGACGACGACTCGGATGGTGACGAGCTGGGCGATACCGAAGATGACGCTTCTCTGGGAGGCGACAAGAAGCCCAGCAGCCCTTTCAACAAGGCCAAGGATGGTGCCGTCTTCCGTGAGATCGTTCTCGGTGCGGTGAGGGACCAAAAAGCCAAGGAGGAGGCGGAGCAGACGGAGCAGCAGCAGTAGATGTCACTTTTGAGATAAAAGAGCGCGGGGAAGGGATTTTTTTTTCCGCTGCTTCTTCTTCTTCTTTCCGATTATATCTCTGTTTTCTCCTTTGACTTGATCTTGTTCCTTTTCTTTTTCTCAGGCTATGGCGCCTCCACCCCTAGGAGAAGGTGGACCTTGCCTGTCGCAATGTCCATATTTGGGAAATAACGACAGCTTTGTAGTTGAGAATGAGACTAAGAAGTTATCGTGGCAAGCGTTTTAGCCCTTTTCTTATCATCCCTCCTTCTTCCTCTCCCGTAAGACGTTTACCGTTTCGGGAGACGCATGCTTTAATTACGACGTAGAGCAGTATGACGTACCTGTTTCCCCCATGTTTCACTTTTTTTGAGAGTGCTATCACAAATAGACGCGCTTGCATACAAGGCTAGGTGATGTAACAATAAATAAATCAGAGTAGTGATAACTTGAGTGACAAGATACTATTTAGTGCACACAGCTTGATTTTCTTTACCTTTGCTCGGGAGAAGGACTGGAGGAAAGGGAAACCGATGAGGGAGAGAAAGAATCATATAAAACATTTCTTCGTCTAACTGGATCCAGTCCAGTAAACAAGAGGAATTTCTTTTCGTAAAATAATTAAATATAAAAGAAGAAGAAGAAGAAAAGTCATGAGAGAACTCGCTCCAAGTTATCAAAGAAAAAGAAAAAGAAAAAAAAAGGCTCCAAACACCAGAACCAAGAACCAGATAAACACATGAACAGCCCGCCAGCTGTCTCTTCCCGCCTATACATTCCCCCTCAGGCCAGGGCAGCAAGTTATATAAAACATGGCGGGGAAAAAAAAGTATATCTCTCTCACATGTGACCATTTTCCTCGTGCGTGCGTGACCGAAAGAAGAGAGGGAGGGAGAGAGGGAAAGGAAGACGAGAAGGAATAGATGGACAGCACGTCATGCGCATATTTGATTCGATGCTGCAGGTGGCCATGAACAACAGCANGGGGGGGGGGATATATATAGATCAGTTCATGAGATCTGCCATAGCCTCCTCCGTGAGAGCCTCGTACCTCGAAGGATCGAAGCGCTTCCTGACCCATCCCGTAGCCCTGAGACGTCTGATGCGACTCTCGAGGTCAGCGGTGGCGCTCGGCGATGCCTCCGTCTCGGTCACAGTGTCAACGGCAGGGATGTGAACCATGTTGATCTGGCGATGGAGAGACTCGAGAGCCATTGCGAAACGGTGTAGGGACCTAGAACGACGAAAGGGGTCCACCTTGGCATGATCCTGTTCCGACTCCTCTTCATCGTCATCGTCATCGTCATCGTGGTAGAAGCAGATATTATTCCTCTCCCCGTCTCCGTCAAGGCCGGACGCCAGGTCGACAGAGACGGGATGGGCGTATGGCGGCGTAGCGGGGAGGAGGCATCCCAGCGTTGGCGAGTCGGGACGGACCGTGGGACACTGGTCTTTCTGTGCCTGCTGCACCGGCGCAGCAGGAGGAAGGGAGGCAGGCACGGCGTGCTGCTTCTCCGGCGAGGGAGACGGCGTGGTGATGCAGGTGTCTACGCTGGAGCGATTGCTCGATACGCTGCTGCCGCCCATCGAGAGGGAGGGGGAGTGGGATGTTGTCGTCGTAGAGGGGCTCAGGCAGCGTGGGAATGGTGCGGTAGCAGCGCTGTCGACGGACGACGAGACATATGGGGAGGGAGGAGAGGATGCCGCGAGAGTTGACACATTCTGGCCCTCTACGTCGGAGAGGATGGATGCTCGTCTGTAGTGGTCGCGTGCCCGGGCGAGTAGCTTGACGCGATGGTCCGAGGCGTGGTGGAGGCTGCGGACTTGCATCTCCAGGGAGCTGGCGGCGTAGAAGTGTAGATATATGATGTGAGCTGGCTCGACGGGGATTTTCTTGCATTCGTCAGAATTAGCTGCTTTTCTTTCTCTCTTTTCCCTCTTTGAAAGGAGAGTGAAGCTGCAGGGTGTGAGAGCTTACAGATTGCTTGACCCCGTTAAGCAACTTGTGACATTGAGCTACGCAGGATTGATATCTCCTATCAATAAACATCCCCTTGACCTGAGTCAAGACTCTCTTCCATTCATATAGTGTAGTGGGCATCTCGACCGTCGCTGCCATTTTATTGTTGTCGAGGTTTCGTTCTTAGCATGCAGTAGTACTACTGAATCTGGCGATGCTGTTGCTGTTGATTCGATGCGTCTAGCAGTACTTGAAGGAACGAAAGGAAGAAGGATGACGAGACAAAGTCATGACAAGAGAGACGGAGAAAGAGATACAGAGAGAGAGAGAGAGAGAGAGAGAAGAGTAATAAGCTCCTCTAGAGAGAGCTCGAGGAATAGAAATAAAATAACATTTCAGTCTTGCTCCAAAGGTGCCCCCCCCCCCCCCCCCCCCCCCCCCCCCCCCCCCCCCCCCCC